TAATGGTTGTATTGATGTATAGCAACTTGAAATGCTCCCAAAAATGGCTCCACAGCATGTAAACATATAATATAAGCTCTGGTGGACTTGGTTCTATGGTAGGTCTTAAAGGGTTAAAATCAAGTGGTGTCCTGACCCAGAGGGTCTAAACATAAGGCCCAGGGACCGTCAAAGGGTCCAATCCAGCTGATTGAAAGGCGAAAAGGACGTAAATTTGAGGCTGTTTTCACCAGTTTTACAGCCTGAATAGAAGAAAATCACCTGTTGCTGACATACAGCCAGATAAACGTTAAATAACAGAACAGTTTAGGTTTTTCATTGTGGAGGTTTCTATTTATTCTATTTTTTTTTCATTCGGGATTCTACTGTGAAGGAAAAGCAGGACTGAAAACGTCTTCTTTTGTAACGTGTGTCTGTAAGTCTGAGCTGACGGCTTTGACTGCTTCACACTGAACAAAGGAAGCAGGTTTGAGCCTGCGTCATGGTGGTTTGGGTTCAAATCCAGGTCATTAAAACGTTCCTGGAACGTGTAAATATCCAGCTGGTGATGTCAGGAAGTGGTGGAGATGCAGATCTGACGAGTTTGCACGTAGCAACACTGCATTTGTCCGTCCGTCCTGCAGATGCTCTGTTTGTCCCCGTGCTCATGCCCAAGAAGGACCAGGAAGTGTTTGTTGGCTTCTCTGTAACGGGGGATTAAACTCATATGGATGCAAAGCACAGCAGAGCGAGCAGAGAGAGAGCGCGTGGCTCGACGTGGATATATGGGGCTGTAAAAGCTCCACAGCTCTCCCAGCATACATTCCAGTACACGGCGTGCCAGCTTGTTGCAGAGCTCAAGGTCAAACGCACATAACTTGGAGTGTTTCATAAGAGAGAGAGATGGAGGCGAGCTGTCTGCCTCTCAGTGTTGCATGAATTAATTGATCCTACAGGGAACGATGGGCTATGAATCCCAAAGCGGAGTGTGTTTTAATTGGTCCTGTGGTGCGCCGAAGTGTGTGTTTAGGAAGGAAGGAGCGGTGGTATCGAACATGCTGCAGTCGCTATCGACAGGGTCTACGTGGAGCCCTCGGTGTGTGTGTTTGTACTTGTTTTGCTACATTAAGGGGACAGAGTGTTCACAGGGCTTTTGTGGGGACTTGCCTTCCTTCTGGGGACACAAAGCATCGATCGATTGATCAGATGTTACCTTTGATTGTTAGTTTGGCTTCCAGCAGTTACAGTTGGGTTCACGCGTTTTTGGATTATGCTAGCTTGAGTCTACCCTTGAGTTATGGGTTTTTTTAGATTGAGATTAAACGTACTAAACAGCTTGGCTGGGACGCGGTGGATTATTCATGTGGAAAGTTTACTGGGTGTGATACCGTGCTGCTGGTGTTTACTACCTCAGTGCATATTCTCTGTTTTAAACAGTGGACGGTGAAGTGATATCAGTGAAGATTAAGAATAATCCAGGATGAGCATCATGTGATGTTGCACCGTGGATGGATGCAGATATATTCGTGCTCTGCTGTCCTGTAAGATGCAGTATTTCCAGATTATGGCTCATCGTTGTTTTCACTTTGTTGCGATCTGGTCGGCCTACCGTTTGTTTATGGCTACGTTTAGTTGTCCAGCCTTTGAAGGTGGCCTGCTGCACAGGAGTGTGAGAAATGCATTAAGGGAGATTTAGAAAGCCATCTTCCCTTTCAGGCTGCAGGGTCTGACTGTGAGTCAGTGTGAAGTGCTCCGAAATGACGAAGGCTGCGTGCTGTGAGTGCGTCCATGACTCGCTGCTCCTCAGGAGGGCAGTAAAAGCCGCCCTCAGCAGCTGTGACTTCACAGCCCTTATAAACTCCCCTCCCTCCCTCCGTCGCTGCTCCACCTTTTCTAATAGCGCCGTGCGTATTTGAAGCCTGGATTAAACCCAAATGCAAACTTTAACTTCCCCTCCTTTCCCCTGTCGTTCCTTTTATCTCCCCTGAACACTCTCACCTCCTCTCTCTGCTTTTCAAACGCTGGCATTGTTGCTGCCGCTGACAGATGAGTCCAAGGAAATGAAGTTGTCTAATTGATGAACTCCTTAAATAAATGGCATCATTTAGTAAAGCTCTAATCGCAGCGGTTTTCTAGCCGTGACAGACATGCAGACTTTCAGCCAGACCACGTCTGCACCGCGCTGCTGACATTTTACATCCTCTAACCCAGATTAGACGCAGCTGAAAAGTCACACTAAATCAAAACCCTAACGAGCATATAGCAGCTTTTCCCGGCCAAGGTTATATTTAGCTTATTGGCCGGTCTCTGACTGCACTGACACGTTGCTTTTAGAGCTGGCAGGACTCGAGTTAAGAGCAGAGCTTTCTCGCTCGGGCTGTCGTCTTTCTTTGACCACGCGGTCGCTTTCTGTCTCGATTTAGCTGCTAAACCATCCAAACTAAGAGGAGGGAACAAAAGCAAACAAGCATCCAGGGAATGATGAACAACAGTTAGTGCGGCGTGCAAGGTCTCTCCAGAATACAGAGTTTAAGTAGAGCGCAGAGGCTCGCCTAAAGAAGCTGCAGCAAAAGGTCGATACTCTGCAGACGGGCGTGCGCAGGAGGAATCAAAGCGTGCAGTAAACGCTCTACTGTACTTTACTGCTGCAGAGTCGACTGACAGAACTGGGTCCTCTGTGCTCACCGGGCTGAGCTCGTGTGCTGTTGTGCAGAAAGCTGCTAATGTGACTAAGAGCACAGAGCAGCGTCTAAAGTGCACTAATGGGCTTTTTTCTCCTTTTTATGAGTGTAATCAGAAAGTCCTGATGCTGATTTGATCTCAAGATCACCTCCTCGTGCACCTCTGGACCGGTCTCGGCACTGCTGCTGCCGATGGTCCCTGCACGTGTCGCGTGGGGATCCACGGTAACGCCCTGAGACACGGAGGGACGTTCAGAGGAGATGGATCTGAAGTTCAGCGCGTGCCTTCTCGTAGCGGTTCAAAGCACCGTGAGCACTCAGGAGGCTTTATGGACGCGCAAACACAAACTTTGTGTGCTGTGTGATGTCAGAGTAGCAGCCGTGCTTCAGAGGGGCCAGAGGGGCGTGGCATGATGAGAGCGTGCAAACTTAAGTCATGGGAGGAGCTTCACCTGTACGAGTTTAAACATGGCCAGGGTTTCTAATAATGAGATGAGCGTATGCTCAGTAATCAAGCACACACTGCGTGATGTCACCGCGAGGGTACGGCTGGCATACCGGGACAGCCAATCAGGAGAGAGTTGTCTTTAAGGAAGGAGCTAAGGCTGCTTGTTTCAGAGCGGCTGTGCTGAGGCTCAGTGTGAGATACAGAAGGATTATTATGACCTGTGGATCATGCAAAGCTGCTGTAGGAGAGCACGTGATACCTAATCATGCTGAGTGCACCAAAGGTTTTACCTGACTGACGCTGTGCTGGAGGCGTTCATGTTTCATGAGCACCTGAGCGTCCGGACAGGCAGGAATACCACAGTCGTCATAGCGCCACCTGCTGGGAACAGCTGGTTTATGAGTTCACCCTAAATTGTGTTACAGCGTGACTACAGCCTCGCTTTATTTAAAAACGAGCCTGCAGCATCCGGCTCCGGTTGTTTGTACCCGACAGGCGGATTAAAGGATTTGGCATTTTTTAAAGGTATTATTTTTCTTTTGTTTCTGTTCGGTGTGTTTGGTTTTTCTGTAAATGGGTAGGTCAATACCAGTTTGGCGCTCCGGTGAGTATTGGTGGCAGCAGCGTGTGTGGATTTGGCTCAAAATAAACTACAGCGAGCTTATGTTAACAAAGGAGCGTGCAGCCCAGTGCAACAGAATGACTCACTGATGGGTTTTCAATAGTTTAGACAACAACAGGGCTCCATGGCACGGAGGAGTGAGGCGTGTCGCAGCTCTGCTACACAGAAAATCACCGCTGATGGTTCTGCTCTGCTCCTCTAAACTCCTGACACCATTAAACGCAGATTCAAAGAACCTGAAGTTGGTTTTGTTTGCTGGAAGTACAAGCAACCACTGTGATGTCATCACACCAACAATAGCATGTTTGAGGTTTCATCGCCACAGATACGGGCTAATGTGAGCTGACACTTCATGGATGGTGCAGGTAAACTCACAGCAGCCGCATTATTGATCCGAATGCTCAGATGGTGACAAAGATAAGAAGAAGAGAAACACGTGATGGACACAGGAAGTAAACAGACTCTGGTTGTGCACAGAGAGTCAGTTAGCAATCGAGACACAGGTGGGAACAATAAAGGTGAGTCAGGCGGCCGGGGAAAAGGAGAAAGAACTCAAACACAAATGACTAACTGTAAGTAAAAAGGAGTGCAGCATAAAACAAAAGACCAACCAACATCCAATGGCAACCGACAGCCGCCTGTGTCGCCATGCAGCTGTCGGTAGGCCACGCCCCTAATAATGCAAGATTTAAGCCTTAAACAGCTGTTGTGAAAGAGGAAATGATCTACAGATCCAAAGAGTTTGTGCATCAGGCTGTAAACATGTTTGTCTCTGCTCTAAAGTCTGTGGGGACTGGCTCACTGCTGCCCCTGCTGGACACTAGAGGGACTGCAGGTTTCGAGGTCAATGCTTAACTCATGCAGAATTATTTTAACCGATTTCTTATTAATTTTTTTACTACAAATGATTTTGAAACACATTCATCTTCTTTAAACATGCAGAACACAGCTGTGTGACCATCGCTGCAGATGTCACAGACCCCGCCCCCTGCAGCATGTTTGCGCTCGATTTGACCGTGGCCCTGTGCTTCTGTGTTTGTGTGTCTTTTGTGTATGTACAGCGTGCTGTGGGAGCCCATGGGGGACGGCAAGCGCGTGATTTCATTGGCTGATAACCATGCGCTGCTCTGGGACCTGCAGGAGAGCTCCACACAGGCCGCGGTGAGGAAACTGTAAACCAGAGGCACGCACGCCGTATCGCACAATAGCTAACTCATTATTTGATAACTGCCATATCGTCCTGGTGTTATCAGACGCACACATCCTCCCTGTGTGTGACAACAGCACAGCGTCCACTATTCATCCTGCCGCACACACACACACACACACACACACACACACACACACACACACACACACACACACACACACACACACAGCTTTAATATTATTCTGGTCAAGCTGCTCCTGCTGTGACAGTAATAGTCTTGTTTAATACGTACGAGGGAAATCGTTCCATCTCCTTTCACAGTTCACTGAAGTGGAGCTGCTGCAGTTATACATTAAGTTTCACTTACAGGCGCTGCAGTACACAACCTGATATATGTGTGAGGAACATTACACACCACGCGTGAAGCCCAGCGCGTCTCGCTCTCGAAACGCGCGCGGACGCCGCTCTGCCGCTTCAGTAAGACCGACTTTCGTTAACGACGCTTTAGTCAGTCGTCGTTTTGTGTTAACAGACGATGAAATCAGAATTGTTGCATAAACTTTATCCCCTCGTTTATTCATTTACCCACCGCGGTCGCGGTTCAACGTCCTGCAGCTCTGAAACCTCCATAAGAGAATCCACTCAGCGTGGACGTGACACTGACGATCAGGACTTTTCCACAGCCGCTAATCCAAACCAGGCAGCAGCAGATTAGTGACCGGCCTCGTGCTCTGGGTGGATCGTCTCAGACCTTCTCCTGGATCCATTTTCGGCGTCTTCTTCCTGCCCTGTGATGGCGTCTGTCTCTGCACTGTGATGCACTGCAGTGACCGTTAGCTCGTGCAGGTTAGAGGTTAGAGGACTGCACAGGTCTCATGTACAGTTTACTCAGATATTTATTCCATGCCTCAGATAATCCGTCATTCTGACACTGAAACTTTGACCTGAAGTCCGTGAACTCATCAGAGAAGCGTCTACAGTGAGGAGAGCCGGAGGTGGACGAGCTGCCGATGCTCACAGTCAGAGTGGCTGTATTGGAGAAAACATGATGAAGGAAGACCTCAGAGAAGATTCACGGATGCGGTGAAGCACGAGGGGCGGAGTTAAGAGCTCTGTGAAGGAGAGACGTCCTGGACTCTTCTGGTTCTACCAGTGCAAACTGGGAGAACCCACTTCAGACCAGGATCCCTGTTACGCTGCAGACGCCTCACGCTCGAGACTTTCACTGCAGTAAAAATAAAGCGTCGAATGAGTGGCTGAATCGTGCGTGGACGCTTTCGATCAATTCGTCGGCAGTCCCGTCCTTCCTGCAGGGTGAAGAGGCTCTTCACTGTAAGCTCTCAGTCTTCCAACCTGCCAGCTTTGCCCTCAAAAGGCCCATTATGTGTTTAAAGCCTGGAATAATGGCGTGCGTCGGGCGCGCGCGGAAGAAGTAATAGAGCGGCGGCGTGGGTCGGCCCCGGCTTTCATGAGTGTGTTGTTCCATCCGGAGCGATGATTCTAGATGAGTCATTAGTGATTCATGCACTCGTTTAGTGATTCACATAAAGGCCAGCCAGGTCACACACACCTGTGTGTGTGTGTGTGTGTGTG